GAGTTGCGAGGTTGACAGGTATAAACAAACTCAGATGGAATGGAGTTATTGAGAGAAACAAAATCATTGGGCTGTTGCCACGTTTCAGTCAGGCAAAGAAAATCCAACTTACGATCGGAGATCCTGGATGAGATGTCCCTTACCAGTGAGGGAGCGGATGTTTAATAGACTGAAGTTGATACTAGAGTTACCTTTCCTGACAGGCTGTTGTGACTGATACACAGTCACAACAGCCTGGCATCTCCTCCTCATGCTGGTTACCAGCTTGGTCACACACTGGTGTGGGTTGGCATCCCATTTTTCAACCAGCATTTGTCACAAGTCATTGAAAGTGATTGTGCTGGTCACTGTGACACAAACAACACTCACGCTGATTCCACAAGTGCACAATGAGGTTTTAGTCAGAAATGCATGTGTGACATTCCATCCACTCCACTCCTAAATTATGGGTGTAATCTGTAGTATCTAGCTCCGTGGGTTGGGAATGTATCCTCTTAATTGTGGTTGGGTATTCTGTTTCCTCTGGCACTCCTCACTGTGTTGACTCAGATAAGCACTTGAAAAATCCGAAATAGTCTCATCATTTACTTTGTTAAAACAATGTATCCTGTTAAGAGTCATTACAGTTAACGTAGGTAAGTACATCAAGTCAAGCAAATGTACTTTAGTAGTAGTTTAACCTTCCTGCCTTCTTGGGACCTTTTTGTGCCACTGCTATGTGTTAAATGGCTGCCATTTCCACTGTGTTCAGTGGAATATAACCAAACTTGCCACAGGATAGTTTTTACCTGTCAATGTTAATATTCCAGTGTGAATTCCTTAAATCAGCCTAAAATGGCTGAGCAGCAGAAATCCCCACACCCATCACCCTGGGGACCATTTTCTGCCCATTGACTTCCATTATAAACGCTATTTTTCAACCCCAAATTATCATCATATGATTTTATTTTTTCTTCTTTTCTTGGATGTCAATGAAGACTCAGGGCCTTGAAGTTTTAATTTTTAAATTGCAAAAAAAATGCAAAAAAAATAATGGCAGGTCAAAATGTATGTTGGTGCCAATCTTTGGTCCATCTAAAGGCCTACTTATAATGACAATCACATATTACTTCAACTGGTTTTTTGTGGAAATATTTAGTTTCGTTTTTTGGTTTTTGGGGCTTATAACACAGGGCGCTCATGTAATAACACTGGGATTTGAAGGGTTAAAACAACGAAAATATAATTAAAACTTTACATGAATATTTCAGGGAGAAGTAGTTTTACAAGGTTGGCTAATTTAAAGTGGAATAAAATATGGATATATGGTCTTTTTATGGCGTGGCTGAGAATGGTCCCTAGGGTGATGGGTGTGAGTTTTTTAAAGGATGGCAGGAGGGTTAACTAATTTACCATTTAACTAAAGTACATACAGTTTGAACACTCACCAATAGCCAAGAGCCTTCACAGTGACACTAAAAGCGAAGTGGAGATTGGTAACTACATTCTAATGGGGAAATATCAGATCAGGTCTGTAACATCAAAATCTATGCTTTAATCTTAAAGCTATTTCATTCTCACCACACAGGGATATCATTTAGCATATTTATTTCTAAACAAACAAACATACATTCAGCCTAATGGTATAGTATTAAAAAAATAAGATTATTCTTTACATGTTTATATAAAACAGGTAATACTTGTGCCGCTTCAGATACAAAAAATTGGCACCTATAAATTTAAACATCAAATACTTGCATATATTTCAGTTTTTCAAACAGGGGGAATTTCATCTCAGGTGCCCATAATACCTACACCAACAAGTAAAATGACTGAAATAGGGACATAATTAGGAAGAGAGAGATTCGAGAATTCAGGTTAAATGAATGGCTACTTTGACCTTGAGCCACTGCTAATAGCTAAAGTGTAGCTTTTAATCATTGTCACATGTTCCGGTGCATTTAAGAACTGGCTGAACATAACTGTACCAGCCTGATTAAAATCTGCTTCAAAGTGAGTATACCCCTAAAGTAAAATGTCCAAATTGTGCCCAGTTTGTCATTTCCCTTCCAGGAGTCATGTGACACGTTAGTTTTACAAGGTCTCAGGTACAGATAAAGAACAGGTGTGTTGAATTTGATGTTATTGCTCTCACACTCTCTCACTGGTCACTGGAAGTTTATCATGCCACATCATAGGAAAGTATTCTCTGAGGATCTGATAAAAAGAATCGTTATTGTACATAAAGATAGCCTAAGCTATAAGAAAATTGCCAACACCATGAAAATGAGCTGCAGCATGGTGGTCAAGACCATACAGCAGTTTAACAGCACAGGTTCCAGTCAGAACCTAACATAACTTCGCCATGGTTGACCAAAGAAGTTGAGTGCACGTGCTTCGCATCATAGAGGTTGTCTTTTGAAAATAGATGTATGATTGCTGCCAGCATTGCTGCAGAGGTTGGAGGTGTGAAGGGTCAGCCTGTCAGTGCTCAGACCATACGCTCCGCACAATGCATCAAACGGCTGTCGTCCCAGAAGGAAGCCTCTTCTAAAGATAATGCACAAGAAAGCCCGCAAACATTTTGCTAAAGACAAGCAGACTAAGGACATGTATTACCTGTGGTCTGATGAGACCAAGATAAACTTATTTGGTTCAGATGGTGTCAAGGGTGTGTGGTGGCATCCAGGTGAGGAGTACAAAGGCAAGTGTGTCTTGCCTACAGTCAAGCATGGTGGTGGAATGTCATTGTTTGGGGCTGCAGTAACTAGCATCTTATGCTTTCCCCCTTATGGTTTCTAGCAAGGATGAGCAGTTGGGTGTTGGGGAAAGCCATGTTCATTAGCTAATCGGTACAAATAAATGATTTTTGACTACAGAACTCACTATGAGCTTGAATGCTGATTAAAGTCAGTTCTGTAGTTCAAACATTAGCTCTACTGCTAATGTCTGAACATTAGCAGTAGAGCTCCACAACTGGAGAACTGGACAGGTCTTTCAGGAACTGTATTAAACTGGTTCAAAACATACTTAGAAAACAGGAAATACTTTGTATCAATAGGTAACTTCACATCTGAGCAGACAAGTATCAGATGTGGAGTTCCCCAAGGTTCCATCTTGGGACCCTTTCTGTTTAACATTTACATGCTCCCATTGGCACAGATTATAAAGAACAACAAAATAAACTATCACAGCTATGCAGATGACACACAAATATATGTCACAATGTCACCAGGAGACCAAGGCCCTGTACAGGCTCTTGGTAAATGCATCGAGGAAATTAATGACTGGTTGTGCCACAATTTTCTCCAGCTAAACAAAAACAAAACTGAGGTAATAGTCTTTGGTGCCAAAGAAAAACGATTACAGGTCACCAGAGAACTTCAATCTATACACCTAAAAACCACAAACCAGGTGAGAAATTTGGGTGTAGTGATGGATGCAGACCTAAACTTAGAAAAACACATTAAGACAATAACAAAATCAGCTTACCATTACCTCAAGAATATTTCAAGGATAAAAGATCTGATGTCTCAACAGGACCTGGAAAAACTAGTCCATGCATTCATCTTTAGTAGGCTTGATTACTGTAACAGCATCTTTACAGGTCTACCTAAAAAATCAGTCAGACAACTACAGCTCATTCAGAACTCTGCTGCTCGAGTCCTCACTAAGACCAAAAAAGTGGACCACATCAGTCCAGCTCTGAGGTCTTTACACTGGCTGCCTGTCCATCAGAGGATAGACTTTAAAGTCCTGATGGTGGTCTATAAAGCTCTGAATGGTTTAGGACCAAAATACATCAGTGACCTCCTGACCCAGTATGAACCTTCCAGACCCCTCAGGTCATCTGGATCCGGTTTTTTATCAGTTCCCAGAGTCAGAACCAGACACGGGGAAGCTGCATTCAGCTTTTATGCTCCTTATATCTGGAACAAACTCCCAGAAAGCCTCAGATCAGCTGAAACACTCAGTTTATTTAAATCCAGGTTGAAGACTCACCTATTCTCAGCTGCATTTGAATAAAGCACCAAATCCACACTTTTAAGCTTAAATTTCAAAACTTACATTTAACTACTGATTTTATCTACTGTTCTGATTTTATCTGTTTTGATTTTATATACTGTTTTGTTTGTTTGTAAATTAGTTAGTTTGTTTGTTTGCTTGTTTTAATCAGTTTTAAATCATGCTTTTTATTTGTTTTTGTTTCTAATGTCTCTGTAAAGCACTTTGAATCACCTTGTTGTTGAATTGTGCTATACAAAAAAACTTGCCTTGCCTTGCCTTACTGCTCTAACTGCATTGAACTGAACTGAAGGATGTTTAGACCTGCAGCTGAACATGAGGCACTGAAATGGTTTATTATGAGAAACACGGAAAGGTCACTAGGCTAATCGGTCACTAACTAACATTTCCTTATGTTAAACCCAAATAATTGTTTCAATTTAATAATTATATAGACTATCTCAGGGGTCCCCTATTAAAATAGCTGGAGGTCCACTACTTCCGCCATCCAATCAATCTGGGGTCCAAACATTTTAAATGAACCGACAAAAATATTTTTGTTCATTTTTGCTTAACATTTAATTAATAATATAGATATTTGTCTTGTAACTACTGATCAATTATTCATATGCCAATTAAATCATTTGCTGAACAGAAAAGAAGAGACCATGTACTATTTAACACTACTGGCTTGGACAACTGAAGGAACTCTAAATATAACCAGAGCAAAGCATGGGAAGAATGACAATAAGAACAATAAAATGTAAGTAGAGGAAAGAAATTACAATGAAATTGTGGAAAATTTAGTACAGATTCAAGAGAAATTAAATTTTCTGTTACAGTACACTTAAACTTAGGTGTCAGAAGGATGAAAATTTCCATAACACATTTGGGAGCTTTGAATCTTACTAAGACGATCAAGTAAAGAAGTACAGTTGTAGCTGATCAATTTGGATAAACTCCAACACCACAAACACTGAGAGAAGGTTGTGAGACTTAAATTAGCATAGGTATCATTAGAGGCCAAATACAATTTTTATTCCAGTGTGTGCTTTTTAATACTGCAAGGATTTTTAGACATGCGAGCCAAAAGTACTGACGCATTTTGGAGCCAGCTTCGTGTAGCTATTTAAGGAATGTTTGGAACCTTTCTTTGGCCTGAGGGTTGCTGCTTGATCACACCTTATATTGCCTCAATCCCCAGTGTATTTGATCTTCTATTTCCTGTAGCGCCACCTTTTTAAAAAATTATTTATAGCTACAAACAAGACCTACCACAAATCGTTTTACTTCCTTAACACAAATGAATAAGCCATGGCTTTAGTGTAATGTTACCAAAGCAGTGACTCATTTTCTGCTCAAACCTGCCACAGTTTCCCTGTGGTATTAACATTAAGTAGAGTCTTGAAGCGAAATGTGTTAAAGCTCTTCTTTCTTCTTCAAGATTATTTGCCGCACCATTTCAGCAATTTTAGGGCGAATTTCTTTGACAGAGACTTTTGGTCCCCATGCATCCACCACTTTGCCGTTAACGTCAATTAGATACTTCCAGAAATTCCAGTCAGGCTCCTTTCCAGATGCCTCTGTAAAAGATTAAATGACATAGATGTATGAATAACAGGTTTGTGTAAGCTTGTAACCTTTTAAAAAAAACATTATTTGTTTTAAGTTTTGCTTCAAAGGTTTCTATTTTTCCCCTCTCTTTTTTCTACACCGCACACGACTGCTCTCTCATAACCCCCCCCCCCAAGAGGCAGTTACTCACCAAGAAGGTACTTGTAGACATTGTTGGCTCCAGTGCCAACAACAGCAATTTTGCTGAACAGAGGAAAGGAGACTGCGTAGACTCTGCGCACAAAGCTGTCAATCTCCTTGTCACTGCCAGGCTCCTGCTGTCCAAATTGGTTACAGGGGAAGGCTAGCACATTGAAGTGATATGGACCAAAGTCCCGCTGGAGCTGCTGCAGTTGATTGTAGTGTTCCTCAGTGAAGCCACATTCACTAGCTACGTTTACCACCAGGGAAACCTAAAGCCACCAGAAAACACTGTAAAAACACCACAAAAGCTTTCCTAGCTTAATATGTGTCAGTATATATGTTTCTTTAAACATGCATAATTAAATGAACTACTTGCAGTTTTATTTGCATGTAGTTCACATAAAGTTGGCAACCACTGGATTGAATCACCCCACTGTACAGTATATGTTGGATCTATAAAGCTATATGTGTTAGTTAAAGGTTGCCATTGACCAATTTTACAAGGCTGCTGAGGATGACACATTCAGTGAAGAGGCCACCTGCTATAACTGAAATAGATATGGATATTTTTTCATTAATTTATGTTAAATAACGGTTACTTTCACTGAGACCATATCTGATGTAAAATTGTTTGTTTAGTTGTCTCTTTTTAGACTATTTTTGTCTTTATTGCACTGTGACAGTGAAGATGGACAGCAAAGTGGAGAAGGCACTAGGGCTGGGCGATATGACCCAAAATTCATATCTTGATATTTTTTAGCTGGATGGCGATATACAATATATATCTCGATATTTTTTTAAGCCATAAGGTAAGAACAAAAAGAGAGTTCTTAGTCAAAGCTGTGTCCCAGATGTCACACAGGCACTTTTATTAACATACAGCGTAGATGTACATGAAGAAATTACTCAAAAATAAATTATCAGCATTTATTATATAATAATGCTCCATAAATAAAAGAAAACAATGATGTTTTTGTGCATAACAAAAAGCTCACAATTGTGCAGTCAAAATGTAAACTAAAAGACGCTGAGCATAACAAAGACAGATTTCACAGCTGCTCTTTTCCCAAGTTGTACTGCGTGACTGACAGCCTGGAGTTTGAAATCTGCTTTGTAACCGTGTCTCTTAACAGGTGCCATTTATGGTGCTTATACACACACAATACGGTAATATTACGTTGAAGCACAGTACGTATCACTCCGCGAGGCTCCGGAATACGGTAGCCTACTGCTCCGACAATCCATCAAGCGGTGCAGCTCCGTAGCTTTCCAAAGTGGAACTAAAACATTTCTTGACAGATTGCTGAGCGCCGTGTACCACATAAAATCGGTTCGCGGTCAGTAGGCACAACCAGAATTCATACATACAGAAAATGAAAGGATTTTAGGCCATGCATGTCGTTAGCGCGGTTAGCTCGCTAACACGTTGACGCCGTCCAGCCTCACACACGGGGCGATCCGCGGCAACTCGTTAACGGAGATTTGCCGTGTCCAGCTTGCCGTTGCCTGCAGGTGAAGCAATGGGGGAGGGGGGAGTTGTGTTCAGTGAAGGAGAGGCGAGGCCCAGTAACGTTGCAGAGAGACAAAAGTGGACGAAAGAAAGGCAAACTTGCGACTCCACGAGTATAATTATAACATAACATATACTATATCGATATAAACGATATTGTCACATCTTATATCTCGTACGAAAATATATCGATTTTTTTTTTTTTAAACTTGATATATCGCCCAGTCCTAGAAGGCTCACAGGCCAGACAAAGACTCCCCAGCCACAGCCCTAAAACATGACTGATCTAGAGCAGCGGACCCCAACCCTTGGGCCACGGACCAGTACCGGACCATGAGTTGTTTGGTTCCGGACTTGAGGCTTGGGTGTGAATTTTTTTTATGGTTTTTTTTTGGTCTTTATCATTGTTTTTTTATTGTTTTTATTGTTAACTCTGTTTCCCTGGGTGTTTTCCCGTGTGTTAAGAATTATTATTATTTTTTTTGGTACTGCTACTGGTTTTATTTTGTTGTATTTATCCACGACATCTTGCAGTCCGTGAAAATATTGTCGGACATAAACCATCGCGCAAAAAAGGTTGGGGACTGCTGCTCTAGAGGAGATCTGCACGGAGGAATAAGCCACAATAGCAGCAACAGTGTGTGAAAACCTTGAAGACTTGCAGAAAACATTTGGCCTCTGTCATTGCAAACAAAGGGTATGTAACAAAGTATTGAGATGAACTTTTATTATTGACCAAATACTTATTTTCCACCACAATCTGCAAAGAAATTCTTTAAAAATCAGACAATGTGATTTTCTGGATATTTTTTTCTCATTTTGTCTGTCATAGTTGAGGTATATCTATGATGAAAATTACAGGCCTCTGTCATCTTTTATATATATATATATACACACACACACACACACATATTGCCCCACTGTGTACAGACAGACAGACAGGCTCCTTCTTCAAAAAAAGCAAAAGTGAAGTCTGGCCGTCCCACTGATTGACTAATTATTTGAACCACAGATAACTGTGATTTAGGCCTTTACATGTTACAGACGCCATTCACAGATACAGAGACTAATAAGTATCCTAATACACATTAATACATGTCACAGCTTCATACTTTAACTCGCAGTTAAACTACAGAAGATCATCACTGCAGAAGTATGGCTTCCTGAGAAAGCAGTGTGTAATCTTATCATCTAGTGACATCTGGTGTCAAGATAATACAATTGCAAGTCTGACATATATGACGTGGGATACTGAAAATATCCACATCTCTAATAAATTAAGCTCTTTATGTGTCTGGTACCATATCTCAAAGACAGTTAATATGATTAACTTCAAACTTAGTGGGTGTAATGCTGAGAAGGTAGTGTATGGGGTCATTGGATGACTCCCATTTTTTGAATTAAAGTTACTGGTAGGGCTGCTGTTTTGGCAGTCCTTGATGCCTTTTATACAGTGGCCCTGAGAGGTCAAGAAAACACCAGCAAATAGAAATGCACCCCAAAATCACACAAAGCACAACTCTAGTTAAAATAAAACAAAACAAACAAAAAACTCGAACAAAATACAAGAAACCACAGTTACACTACAGTATGATCAAGGACTATAATCAGCATGCTGGAATCTGCGACAGTGGAGTGGGAGTTCATCCACAGAATGTGGATCTCACTGAAGAAGCAGCTGGTGTTGATTTATTAGTCACAAAGTACAAAGTCACAAAGTGCCGATATCTTATTTTTATAACTTAATAATAATGTGTGACACACATGCATATAGAATGAGAAGAGGGTGTGAAAAGAGTGAGGTGAGGTGAGGTAGGATGGAGGAGGGGAGACGGAAAACACAATAACCCATTAAATGAGAGTGACTCTGTTCGACTGTTTTCAACTATGGGATGTGCACAAGGACATCAAGGGAAAATGGTTCAAACAAGTCCTTGACATTATACTGCTGCAGATGTTATGTAGAAGTGCTTACCCTAATTATTAGGGTTATTTTTCTAATATTGGATGGTCTTTGCCTTGTAATATAAAGTGTCTTGAGGTGGCTTTTGTTGTGATTTAACACTATAAATACAACTGAACTGAAACTGAATATAACATTTTGAAGTGAGATGCAGTGAATAACTATCATGCTGTGCTACTGTTGTCTTCAACTGGTTCAAAGATCATCCATTTTTTGGACTCACTGAAAAAGAATGCAGGTTTAAAAGCATTTCCCACTGGCTTCACTTTTTAGACTATAGCTTTGCTTGTCTTTGGTATCCAGTATGTATTACTGAACATCTTTGAATGTCAGTGTGTGAGCAAGTGTCTTATCTTAATGGTTGTTTGTCTAATCTACAAGGCAGCACAGCAGGTCCAGCAAAGTTCTCATGTGTAATGGAACACCAGTTTTCAGTCTTGCTTTTACATTTAATTATTCCTTGCTGACATGAAATGTAAATTGGAACTTTACGTACACTCAACCCATTTAGGCACTGTACTAGTTACAGTAACTCTTCCTTAAAAAGTGCACCGCTACAGCTCTGTGGTGTACAAACTGTGTTCATTCACCTGTAGTGTGTGAAAGAGTTATAGTTTAATTTGTCTGTTTGTGTTTATGGTTAAAACAAAATCCAGAGAGTCTTTCACCTTATTACAAAAAGGATATCTTTTTGAAAGATACCGTCTATAATAATCATTTAAAGCTCCATGATTAAGAATTTGGAAGCAAATAAAGTCAAAGACAGCTAAGTCAAAAAAGATGCAGTTTGTCTTATTATTATCATTTTATATAAAGGTTGTCATATGTAATATACATCATTGTTGCATTATTACGTTTATTTATTTTTATTTAGGTGTATATCAACAGTTATTGTAATAACTGGGGTAAAAACCAAACTCATGTATGTTCCGTTACCTCTGATGACGGATAGAGTGAAGATAGAGTGAAGTCTTCAGACAGATTAGGGCTAACGCGGTCTGGTGATCCGTAACTTGTTTGAATGAAATCTCAGCACTTTCTGCAGCTTCAGGGGCTGCAGGCCTGCCACGTAGGCTATCCGGGCTACGTGACGGGACATCCCCACCAGCAGCCCACAATCAAACTGATTCTCATCACTGCTGTGTTAGTTACATCTACAAACAACATTTCATGGAGAGAAGTAAAAGAAAGAAAGAAGCCAACATTCCCATGCAACATTCATTCAAGCAAAGGGCTGGCGTGCCGAGAAACTGCGCTCTAACATCTGTAGTTTAAGCTGCTGTGAGTCGTACTTACCGAACCCCGATATTTCTCCAGAGATACCAGCTTACCCCTGCTATTCACAACTTTAAAAGTATAAAAGTCTTTCTGTTTGCTTTCAGCGAGGCTGAAGAAAGTCAGTAACACTGTGAGCACTGCAGGAAACATCTTTGCAGTCAAACCACCAGCGGAACCAAGATAAACTCCTGCAGTCTTTCTCCGTCCGCCCCGCAGTCACCAGCAGTCTGCGCACCTCCTCTGCACTCAAGCTACACACAGCGATCAGCGTTTCCTGGGCAGGAAGCGCTTAACAAAAATAAAAGTCTTATTGGTCTTCGGTTGTATTCGGTATGAGCAGAAACTAGCAATTTAGCCTGTAAACTCGTGAGGAAAGTGTGTCTTGATGTCTCAGAATAACGGACCTGAGGCCCAGTTTAGGGTGCATTCCAGTTTTATTCAGGAAGGTTCCGTGAGAGCAGTGACCCAGAAGTATCTGTGTGGCGCCTTGGAGCAGTTCTAATTGTCCAAATACTACCAAATACTAAGGAAATAGTTGCTTTATCGCCACTTTTAGTATAAACTGGGATCATCCTTTATGAAAAGAGAGGAAAAAATGCCATTTCATAATTCATAGCAATGGACCATACATTCCTCCAACAAAGTTGACAAAGTGACACAGATCATTATCATTTATAGCTATATTTTACAATTCTGACTCGTGCCCAGTTGTTACCTTGCATGAAAAACACAGATTTTCATGAACTCTCGGTGTAGATCATGAACTGCGTGAACTGAGAAGTGTATTAAAAGCTCTGTAAGATTAAGGTTTGTCATATATATATATATATATATATATATTTACATATGTGTGTGTGTGTGTGTGTGTGTGTGTGTGTGTGTGTGTGTGTGTGTGTGTGTGTGTGTGTGTGTGTGTGTGATTTTGTGTTTTTCTTTGTGTCAGTTGGGATAATGAATGGAGGGAATTTTATTTTAGCCACAGACATCCTGAAGTAGGATGTCTATGGCTGTGATACAATGTAGCTATTTTATTTTAGAGGCTATGGGACAGGTTTATTAAGCAAAGCAAATGACTGTGATGCTGCAATCACAGTGTGATCTATTAACAGTGTTCTTTAATTTATATATAAAGACCAGCCAGTGCATTTCAGCAATTAGTAACCAGCATTATACCAAGAGCAGCGCAAATTATTGACTCAGAAACCTGCTAACCTGATGAGGGAGGATTAGGGCAAGTATGACGTAGGCCTATCAACAAAAATAATATAGCATAAGTTCAGCATTTACTCTTTAGGTGTTTCTTGCTGAAAACAGAGCAAAAATTCAGATGATTGAGAGGAGGATGAATGTGAATTTATATGTTTCTGATTCAGGGATAACTATTCTAAGGGAAATTGCTGGGCACTGTGCTTTAGGTACTTAAGTGAAGGGCAGTTATCCAGAGGAAAACTGCATTATTACTATTCCACCATATGAGCATGTGTCTGTGTGTAACACACATTACTTACCATCACATCCCATGCCCTCCATGCCAGAATCAGCCCTACTGAGGAAGACCTTCCCAATGGCCTTCCATCCAAAAACTAATAGTAATCCATAGCCACTCATGCAATTAACTAATAGATATATATTTAATGAATCTTTTCATGATATACCGTCACACTGTAAGTAAAGAAAGAAGGAAAGTAAGAAACGTGCATTTTCTGTGAATTAACAAAACCTTTGTTTTATAATTACAGGACAGCTATGATCTATCATCATTTTCGGTATTATTTCACATACTTACTTCTTACAATTTAAACCCAAAGAGTCATGCTGATTTTGTTCATTTACTACAGCAGCTTTTCTTTATTATTTAGAAAAACTGAGATATAATGAAACTCAAATTGCACTTCTTTTCCTTATAGATCTTGGATCCAGATCTGGGATCTCCTTCCAGGTCTGGACAAGGGCATCAGCTAGACCAGGTCCTGGACAGTCTGACGTGTAACCAGGTGGAGTGAGATGGACCTAAACACAATGTGCCAGAGTTGTTCTATCGGTGTTCTATTAGGTCAGGCAAGCTTTGGTGCCTGTAAATGGAATCAATTCCTTGATCCACCAGAAACTATTTGCATACTCTTGCCATGTGATGCCAAGCACCAAGAGAAACTAAGATTCAGTGTACCAATGTAGGGTTTGACACTGGGTTCAAGGATTTCATCCAGATACCAAATAGCAGTCATTTGGTATCTGGCATGTAGAGTTCTATGTGTCCCTCCATGGATATGTCACTGACCCACTACCAAACTGATCATGCTGAATGATGCTACAAGCAACATAACAGTCTTCACAGCTTCTCCAGACACTAATATCACTAATATATATATATATATATATATATATATATATATATATATATATATATATATATATATATATAGATATATATATATATATAGATATAGATATATATATATATAGCGAGAGAGGGGGGGAGAGGGAGAGAGAGAAAGGGTGTTGTATACAAAACAAGGACCTTCCTAGTAGTACATGAACGCGGCACGAAACACGCCCCTCTTCATCATCACTGGCACTCCCACAATGCAGCGGGGTAATGTATTAACATGGCGTCAATGCTTGCTGTTTTGACCAGGGCCGTGGGATTTGAAAACATTATGTAGACCAGAACCATGGAGATAGCTAAACAATAATTTCGAATCAACTTAAGAGTTCGAAAGTAAGTCAGTGCGTGCTCTGTTGTGTTGCAATGGTTTAAGCGTCTCCTTTGTGTTTTTTATGACTTGCTGCTGTGTAGTAAGTGAGTACCAGTATTATTTATTTCCCGTAGCTAGCTCAGGCGGACGACCGGGCATCGCAGCTAACCTCAGTAACATTACGGAGAGGGCTAACAACGTACTCTGCAGAGCAAAGCAACCCCAGGAAGTAAGCGTGAAGCATTCCCATAACGTAAGACGGTACATTTAACCTTTAATGGTAAGCTTTTTAAGTTAATTCTATTTTAACGCATTTTTTTCTCTGCCTGATGGCATCTTCCTCCCTTATTTGTTGCTCGGAAGTTTAGCTAACTGTGTGTGTTAGCTTTCGGTGTTGTGTTTAAGTTTGTTTTTCTCTAAACTGAAACACACGGAAGCCCCAGTGAGTAGTAATGTCTGCAACCCCTAACCTGTGGTTTACTGTAAAACGAAATTAATCTCCAACTGCGATAGTGGAGGTGGATTTCCAGGAACAGACCTGGGGGGAAAGCAATCAGGGTGGTAAACTGTCTATTTGGCATTTGTGTTTGATCTAAAAACGCTAGTTTGATTACGTTGGAACTACGATGCTAACTTTTGTTTGATTAATTTCGGCATTTTATAGACAAATTGGTCTGTTGCTTTATGACGAATGAAAATGATCATTAGCAGCAGTGTGGATCTCTGTGCTAAACGATTTTTGTTTTAACTGAGAATATTACAAACGAGCTTTATAAATTGTACTGTATGTGCACATCTGTCATAGTTTTTGTTTAGTGTGCTCACAAGATATTTTAGTTTGATTTCATAAAAACTTATTGATGTGCTCACTTGGTAACTTGGCTCTGGGATTTTCTGTGTTCAGCGTGGACAATGCATAATAAAAATGATCTGTTTGAACTCTAAAGACAAAGTTAAAGTTGCTCTGTAACGCCCCCCGCTCATCTTTATTACTTTTAAATAATGATAAATCCTTTAAACAAAAGAGTAAAAGGTAAAGATCTGACCCAAAATTAACTCAACACTTCCTTATTTATTTATAACTTGATTATTCACCTTTTTAATGAGTCAAAGTCAACTCTTTTAAAAAATAAAGGGAAAAAATCTGTTATTAAAAAAAAAAGTTTTAAATAAACAATAAACTAACAATTATGAACTAAAGATTTTTCTCTAAGTTACTCATTCAAAGTTTACATATGCATTCGGCTGAATTGTTAAAACAATGCACAACACATTATTTCACTGCAGATACAATTTATTTTTTCTTCTTTTCCTAGACTTTGGGTGGCCTACCTCCCTGGCCATCTTCAGTGTGGTGTTGACTCCACCAGGAATAAGAGCAGAAGAAACAAAGGGATGGATGAGTCCTTGACTCCAGTAAAGACAGTCAAACAGTCTCAGCTCAGAGGAGCTAAAGCTTTATCCACTGAGAAATCCAATAAAGAGACTCTTGTGCAGAGAGAGAGTCATAAGTCTGCAAGCCGCAGCAAAGAAAACAGCACGACTGCCAAGGATGAACATAATATAGGCAGCCAGGTTAGCCGTGGGCAAGGCAAGACTTCTACAGATACTCCCCAGGACAAGAGAAGAGGTCGGCCATCCAGATTGAGTAGGCTGACTGGAAGAACGGGTTCTGGGGAGAGAGGCAAAGGAAAAGGGGCAAGCTTACAGCAGCACCTGGTGCCACAGGCTTCTGAGTCCAGAACATCTCTTTCTGCAGACAGCAGCCCCTCAGCAAACAAAGAGAGCAGCTCTTCTGTAGTGCCTGTTACCCCTGACAAAGGGCTTACAGAGCAGGCTAGGAGCTCTACTAGAGCCCTGGCAAAAGAAAAATCCCAAGGTGGGTTGTAAAGCATTTTTCCTGAAATGAAGAAGTCTTCTTCATCAAATAGAGCTCCAGTAAAGTGCTTTGTGTTTGCTGTTTTTTTTTAGTGTTGAAAGCCGCAACACTGATGAATCAGTCTGTGCAAGAGGGCCCAGAGGTGAGGCCCACTGTGGAGGAAGGACCTCTCACAGAGCAACAGCTGGGCCTCCGACAGGCAGAGGAGCGTCTCCGCAGAGACTACATCTACCGACTGCTGAAAGTGAGAAAACCACTCAGTATAACCTTTGTATACCAAATTTTAATAATATGTATGTAATAGGTCCAGAGTTGCTAAATTACTTGACAGTGCAATAATTTTTTTTAATTTGCATTTTTCCACATGTATAAAAATTTTAAAAAGCCACATCTTAATTAGAATGTGTTCATAACTTTATTTTTGAGATACATCGATTTTTATGATACACTTATTTTCATAAACAGCAGCACAAATGAAAATATCCAAATGGAATGGCTCTTCTGTAAATAAAGGGTTAACTAAAGCTTGAGGACATTTTGGCAGTAAGGTCTTGCCTTTACATTGGAATAAATCAGCTTACAATTTAGCTATAAAGCAGATTGCTACTGTACTATAATAATTATCTAATTGTCTAGTTAA